CCTCCCAGGTTCACGCCATTCTCCTGCCTCAGCCTCCCGAGTAGCTGGGACTACAGGCACCCGCCACCTCGCCCAGCTAGTTTTTTCTATTTTTTAGTAGAGACGGGGTTTCACCGCGTTAACCAGGATGGTCTCGATCTCCTGACCTCATGATCCGCCCGTCTCGGCCTTCCAAAGTGCTGGGATTACAGGCTTGAGCCACCGCGCCCGGCCTCTTTCTTCATTTTTTCAGTTGGCACAGTTTTTCTCTGTACTACTTAAGAATACTAAAAATAAATCACTCATCTCCCACTTTGCCCGCTCAACCTTGTTAACTTACTTGGCAACAGTGAAAAAATGAGGGAGGCCTTGGAGAGTTAATTTGGCTCTGTGACACTAAAATCTAAATTAGGAAAATGTGGGCCTGGAGATACCAAACCTGTCCTCTGCAGAATGAAAGAGGCCTGAGAGAACACAGCTTTCCGGAACAAGCAGTTGAATGTAGGAACCAAGTATTTTTTAAAATGACAAGACCCAGAGCCCCAGAACATAGTGCTCTCTCCATCGTCCATCCGTTTCTCATGGCAGTCCAAGGGCAGCCACCTGACTGAGGGCTTTTAGAAGTGGTGCTGTGGATCCAACCACAGGCCAGCACTTCCTCGAACTGCCGCAGACTCTTCTTTGGTCTTAGATGTAAAAGTCCTCTTCACTGCTCTACTGCGGGGGAGCAATTCTCTTCTGGTAGCAATTATATTCCATTTTGATCACCTGGAAGGGAAAGTTGATAAGATTTAAAAGCCCTGAACAAAGGTAAATGGTAACAATCAGATTTTACAAGAGCAATGAAATCAGACATTAATGGTTAATCCCAGAAAAATGAATATCGGAATGTGATAAGTGATTTATTTAAATAATGCTTCCGTAGGATAATCTTCTAAGCTTCTCATCCTCTGTTTGCCTATTTTTTTTTTTCCAGTTCATCTTCCCTATCTCTTTCCAGAACTGGCTATGCTTTGGAAATAGAGTTCAATTCAGTTTTCTTAACCTTAAAAATCAGAGAATTGAATATTTCATATTTTATTTTTTAAACCACACTAACCAACAAATCAAATAAATTACTTTCTGCTTCCACATAGTCCTTTAACCTTTTTTAAAAGACGTAGTGGATCACTCACTCTGAGAAAAAGATTCCCTCTGCATTGATTTTAGTAGAAGTTACAATTCTTAATAGTCTTTAACGTCACCTTGTTAAAAATGTTTTATTTAAGTGATTATTATTGGAAAAGACACTAACTCCTCATACCTTCTACAGGTTTGGATCAGGGCCAACCCATCTCAAAAGTGGGTCCGAGGTATATCACAAAGGCCCTGAGTTCTGTCCAAGAAGTGAACGGAAGCCAGAGAGGAGAGGGTATGTGTGGTTCTAATTAGAGAAGGAAGCTGACTTGAAAAGAGTCATCAGAGGAAAGTAAACAGAAGGGTTGTACCATATTCACAATCTGAGTTTTATTTAAATGTTCGAATGTAAACTTTAAACGCCCCTCCCATATTCATACGTAGGCGCCAACGTTTAAAACCTAACCCTGGCATCTAAAGCTTTTGAGTAAATGAGGGAGACTTTCCATGCCGTTACTAAAAGTTTTATCCATTTATTTATTTATTTATTTATTTAGAGATGGAGTCTCACTCTGTCACCCAGGCTGAAGTACAGTGGCAAGCAGTCTCTGCTCACTGCAACCTCCGCCTCCTGGGTTCAAGCAATTCTCCTGCCTCAGCCTCCCAAGTAGCCAGGACTACCGGCACCTGCCAGCACGCCCAGCTAATTTTTGTATTTTTAGTAGAGACAGGATTTCACCATGTTGACCAGGCTGGTCTTGAACTCCTGACCTCAGATGATCCACCCACCTCGGCCTCCCAAAGTGCTGGTGCTGGGATTACAGGCATGAACCACTGCACCCAGCTTATTTAGCATCTTCTTTTTTTTTTCAAGATTGAGTCTTGTTCTGCCACCCAGACTGGAGTGCAGTGGCATGCACTCTGCCTCCTGGGTTCAAGCAATTCTCCTGCCTCAGTCTCCTGAGTAGCTGGGACTACAGGCATGGACCACCACACCTGACTAATGTTGGCCAGG